ATCCTGAACAATAAACAAGGCTTATGTTTTGGTTAATTTAATAACTCGCCATCCGGGCTGACCCAAATAACAACATCAAAGACCACCATGATAAAAATACAGTCGGAAACCAGAGCAGGTGGGAATTAGAACAAAATACTCTGCATTGAAAGTGATTAACTGTCTGTGACGGGCAGTGGATTTCAGTACACCTGAGATACTGTAATCGTCATTCAAACAGATAATTTGTCATGATGATAATGTCTTCTGCATGGCCATTGGCAGAGGCATGTACATATGGTCAGCTCTGTTTGAAGTGTGTGTGTGTGTGTGTGTGTGTGTTCATGTGGACGTGTTTGTGTTTGTGTGTGAAATCTACAAAGGGTGAATGTTGATTTCCTGTGAAAGCGAGCCCTCTCCCCTCCCCTCCCCTCCTCTCCTCCACTCTGAGAGAGGCTAGCTAGCTCCCACAGGGCCCAGTCAATCAGAGCCTCCTTAAGGTCTTTGCTGATCAATCGTCTCTTCTGAGAAGCTGACATTTGAGGTGTTCTGAGACCACCATCAGCGCCTCGCCTCCAGATGTTGACACACACCAATGCAGAACATCCTTCAGGTCCCAGTGTGTGTGTGTGTGTGTGTGTCTACTAATCTTGGTCACATTACCGTGGTGTTGTGTTTACCCCTTCTCCCCCTCTACCCTGGGGGGTATTGCTCTCTTCCTCACCATGGCGACAGCACGGCCACCTCCAGCTCTCACGTCACTGTGTGTGTGTTGTTTACCACATTTAATGGTATCTCTCTCAACGGTTGACCTTGTTAGTCATTAAAGTATGGCCAGTGGCACGAGCCGTATTGGCAGGTTGTCACACACACACACACACCGCCTGAGTGGGCGCATACATAGGGGCCCATGGCCATCATCACTGCTCCATATAAGGGGAGAGGGCTCAGGTGGGATGTACGGGTATATCCACACGTACACAGCGGCTTCACACTGTATCTTGTTTTCAACATCAAAAACTGCAATAAACCTGCCATCCTCTTTTAGTTTGGATGTGACAGGAGGATAGTGTTCAACATCAAACATATATTAGCCAAGTTAGCCCTTCATCGTGATCAATAATGACCCTAGATTTATTATGCTAGTATTAACGTGATATAATAGCTACAAAAAAAAAATGAAAATCCTAGCTTATAAAAAAAACCAAGATGTTTTATTGTCACATACACCGGATAGGTGCAGTGAAATGTGTTGCTTTTTAAAGGCTCAGCCATAGTAGTGCCCCGTGTAGCTCAGTTGGTAGAGCATGGCGCTTGCAATGCCAGGGTTGTGAGTTCGATTCCCACAGGGAGCCAGTATGAAAATGTATGCACTCACTAACTGTAAGTCGCTCTGGATAAGAGCGTCTGCTAAATTACTAAAATGTAAAAATGTAGTGCGGCACCCCTGGAGCAAACTAGGGTTAAGTGTCTTGCTCATGGGTACATTCACATATTGTTCACCTTGTCGGCTCGGGTATTTGAACCAGCGACTTTTTGATTACTAGCCCAACGCTCTAACAGCTAGGCTAACAGGTGTCTAAATCCATCCCAGTAATTATTACTGACCACAGGAAAAGTGTTATAATAAGGCTCTGCATCCCCAATAGGGTTATAGCGTAAAAAGATGCATCCCAAATAGCACTTTATTCCCTATAGCACTCTATTCCCTATATAGTGTAATACTTTTGACTTGGTCCAAAGTAGTGCACTATAAGGAAAGGGTGCCATTTGGGAAACAGAATGTCTTTAGTGGTTTTCATTTTAAACAGGAAATATCCCCCTCTAGATTACAGTGGTGTCTGTTTTTCCATCTTAATTTAATTAGAGTCTTGTTTGACCACAGGCCTTATAACAATACGGCTGTGGTATAATAATAACTGACCTCCGGCCAGTGGGAGGGGCTGTCTGAGAGAGAGGCCATTCCGGCTCCACACAGACAGATGACAAAATATACGAGGCCACTTTCCTTACACCTACTTCAGCTGAGCCGTGCAACAGAGAGAACACACACAGGCACGCACCCCAGATGCACAGACGCACGCACACTGCAGAGTCAATATTCCTACAGGGCTGGTAAAATACAGCTTCTTCAAAGTGACAGTTAATTATGTCCCCATTACATGACCTCATCAACCCGACAACATGATTTAGAGCTTTTAGAGTCCTATTAGTAGGGAAATATCACCTCACCACCCACCTTACTAAATGGAGCAAAATAGGTATCCTACAGAACAATACACTAAAATCTGTTGAAACTGAAAGGTATAAACCCCACTAACCTTTATCAAACCAGAATGATGGTTAGGTAGAAAAGGGAGGGGGACACAACTGCCCAACCTCCCGTTCTGTGTAACGCTATCAACACCGTGGCCTCAGCCTGGCTAGCCAACAGCCTTAAGAAGAGACGTTTGACTGTGACAGGCTGTCTGTCTCCACACATTAGCAGGTAATTAGTGGGCCTCTGCCGGACCAGGGCCGGTCGGCCATGACGGTGAACACCGTTGGTTGTCTGCTCTGACCTTTACCGGCCTGATATTAAGCTTAATTTGTGGCACATATTGTGCTCTGGTAGTAACCTTTTCCTTTCCCAGGCAGCCGTGTGGTCAGAGAAGGCCTGTGGCCATATTTGTTCCTAGTACTGGGATGTGCTAGGAGTTGTAATGTAATTTTAGAGCTCGAAACTGATGCCCAAAGCATCAAATACAGATTAATGACTGAATTAAATAAATAAATAATTAATTAATTATTTAGACATGGATGGCTGTTGTCCTGACACAAAAACCCATTGATGTTTCTGCAGAATTATGCAACACTCAATGTTAATGCCATTGAGCATCTCACACGTGTTGTACAGCCATTCACAAGTTTGGTCACGTTACCTCTAAAAATATCTGGTGTGTTAAACCACCGGACCCCCAATCTGAGGAGGAATTCAAACACATGGACGCTCACATGGAAACGCTGCACCATCATATACTGTAACATTCACCTCAGAGCCTATTCATTCCATGTACTGAAATAAATTCTCATCCAGCTATTAGCCAAAGCCTCTTATTGCATTCCAGAAACCAGATAATTATTATTCTCCCCAGCAGAACCACTGAGTGTAAAAGTAGATCATAGAATACCAGTAGGTGCCAATGAATGAGGCGGGAAGTAGCCTAGCGGTTAAGACCATTGGGCCAGTAACTAAAAGGTCGCTGATTCGAATCCCTGAGCCGACTAGGTGAAAATCTGTCATGGTGCCCTTGAGCAAGTCTCGTAACCCTAATTGCTCTGGATAAGAACATAGACTAAAATGAATACCCCACAGCTATATGCCATTCAGATACAGTTTGTGTATGAAAGAAATGATCAGATAAGCAGTCACAAGTCTCCATCAAGATGGAGACCATGTCCATTTACCAGTTAAAGGAGAGCATAGCTGCAAATACAACGTCCATTCTGTTTGTATACAGGGAGGTAGCACAGGGTGGAGGGATGTCTCATTTCACCATCCAATGTGCCTGAAAACAGGAACTTTATTGATCTAACAAATCATTCAATCATTTAAAGCTAGTCTACTTTTAAAGTCACCTTTGACCTTGTCTTAATACCCTTATTGACCTGTGTGCTTGGTTGAGCAAAGTACAGCAGTCTGTCATTTGATTGAACTGAAACCCCTGGACAAGGTCGTTGTTAGGCTAAGTAGAGTAGTGGTGTTGGGCTCTGCCCGAAATGGCATCCTATTCCTTATGTAGTGCACTAGATAGAGAATAGGGTACAATTTCAGTCGTAGCCTTGGTGTTACTGTAAGATAGCTAGCACACCCCATACTGTGACTGAATGTAGCTAAGAGGGAGAACAGAACAGTGCAGAGACCAGGCAGACCCCGACCCTCCTTTCTTAGCTTTTGTTTACCGGTGTTAGCGGCATTAGCTGGCCCTCACACATGATGTACAATCACATCACAGAGTCCCAGTAATTCCCACTCGGCTTAATGGACTCCTTAAACTGGCTATTAGTGGAGGGCTAAACCAGGTGGACGTGGGCCCAGAAAGGGAACAAGCACACATAATAACATGCATACAGACACAAATGCACTCACACACTCATGCACACTCACTTACGTGTCTGCTCAGACACGCACGCACGCACACACATACCCCCCCCCACACAAACACACATCCACACGTTCCACTGTATTCTTTTTACTGAATCAATTTGCATTGATGATGATTTGCTGATATTAATGATATCATCATGTCCACACAGTGAGGACAGGTGAGGTGAGGGTTTGTCTGTCTGTAAACACAGCAGACTATTATGTCAAAACAGCCTAAAACCTCAATATGCTCCATGAGCCAACAAGTACCAATGAGAAGCACAGTTTATGGTGTGCACATATAAATAAGTCACTCATTTGTTGTTTATAAGTGTGTATATTAGTAGCTAATAAGGCCTTTATTTGGTCTTATTAGCCATATATTAGGCCTTTATTACTTGTGTTCTTATTCAAACATTATAAGTAATGTGTTATTGGCCAATCTTTAACAACCTCATTGTTAGTCATAATAAATACATTAGTATTTAATAAAGAGCAAGTTAAACAAAAAATAGATTATTCGTAAGCTGTCTCAATGTGCGACTAATAAGGACATAGTACCTTAAGATGGGTTCCCTATACTGAAGTGTTAACCACCAAACCTTGGATTGAAGGAACATTCACTGCACAGTATGGCCTGTATAACATATGCCTGATATCTAGCGAGAGAGAGAGAGATAGCAAAAGAGAGAAAGAGGGAGAAAGGGGAGAGAGAGAGGGAGTGAGAGAGAAGGAGAGAGAAAGAGAGAGAGGGAGAGAGAGAGGGGGAGAGAGAAAGAGTGACAGAGAGAGAGAAAGCGAAAGAAAGAAAGAGGAATTTGATAGGGTTATGTATTGAGAGAGGTCTCTGACCCAGGGCCCTTACCGGATAGCCTTCCGTTTTCTTCTGGCACCACTTCAGTAGAGCGTTCCTCTTAGATCCCCCGTACTCCCGCGCCAGTGCAGCCAAGGGGTCCTTTCTTTCCACACTGACACCAGGGACAGACACCGCAGTCATGTACAGTGAGGGAAACAACAGTTATGGCATCTGACCTGTGTGTGGGGACGTGTGTGTCTCCATCAACCTTACATCAACCTCACATACAGTACAAACGTATGCATGCACTCACGCAGGCATACACACACACACAAACGCACACACACGTCCTGGGGCTGATGTGATTTCCTGGAAGCTAATCAGAGAAGGGTAGTCTCTGTGGCCATGGGAACATAAGGAGTCCTTGGTCTCACTGAGCTACATGGACCACTTTAAACACGTGACTTTGTTTGTTTCATTATGTTTCGACATACTAGTGCTTGGGGAATCGGGAATTGTCATAACAAATGTTGCTTTTTAAAAGCCAGTGTATGAATTCACTGGTGACATACTGTTGCGAAAACAATACTAAATATAAACACATTTGAGGAGCAACATAAATGTTCACATACTGTTGTTTGTGTCTGTGACAATCTAGAGATCTAGACAATCTAGTGTTTGTGTGTTGTGTGTGTGTATGTTGAGAGTTTAATAGTAGGACATTGGGTCACCCTCGATATCACATTAATTATGCATGTTTGTCATTAGCTCTAGATAAACAATGAAAAACTATGTGACCGTTGTCACGCCCTGGCTCTGGGACTCTGTTATGTTGAGCCAGGGTGTGTTGTTTCTATGTGTTTTGTGTTCTAGGTTGATTATCTAGCTCATGTGTTTCTGTGTTGGCCGGGGTGGTTCTCAATCAGAGGCAACGAGTATCAGCTGTTGCTTGTTGTCTCTGATTGGGAACCAATACTTAGGCAGCCTGTTTTCCACAGTGTTTTGTGGGATCTTGTTCCGTGTTGGTTTTGTATTGTAACCAAGGACTTCACGTTATCGTTTTGTTGTTTTGCTCGTGTGGTGAATCTAAATAAAAGTATGTTCACTTATCACGCTGCGCATTGGTCCACTGTGTTCGACGATCGTGACAACCGTAAACAAATGTGATGTATCTCCTGTATTGAAGTGATTGTTTTTGAGAGATTTAGATTGTATTTTATTAGGATCTCTTTTAGTCCTCATTTGGACTAATCTTCCAAGATTCCTTAAACATTCAAATACAATTTATAATACAATCCCATTTTCACATATAACACACTGTTAAAGACAACAGACATAATACACTGACATATCTACCATAGTCCTGCACAACCTTCCAATTTATTATATTTAAATGGTTCTAAAGTATTTGATGGCTGGGTTGAGAAAACTAAAAGCAGTCTGAAGGGAGACTTATTATAATGTAATTATGATTAACAAAGCTTGAGTTCGGTAGTCACAACAAATTGAGTCTGTTTATTTAACATTTATCTCTGACTCATCTCTGCCAAGTTTACTTCTACTGTGTCTTCCACACCAGAATAGAAGGCTATCAGGACACCCAGTATCAAACCATAGGGTTCAGTCAGTTTGTGCATCCCAAATGGCACCATATTCCCTATATAGTGCACTATTTTTTACCAAAGCCCTATGGGCGTAGTGCACAATATAGGGAATAGGGTGCCATTTGGGACATAACCAGTCAGTCAAAACTGGGGCAATGCGGTTGTCACGACTGCCACCTCTCCTTGTTCGTGTCACGATCGTCGTTAAGAGAGGAGGACCAAGGCGCAGCGTGATGAACGAACATGTTTATTTATCATTAGCGATAAACACGGACAGTAAACAAAAACAACAAACGACTCGTAACGTCCTAGGTAACATAGACCAACACGGAACAAGAACCCACAAACACAAAGGGAAAAACAGACAGTTTAAATATGGCTCCCAATCAGAGACAACCAGCCACAGCTGACACTCGTTGCCTCTGATTGGGAGTCACTCAGGCCAACAATAGAAATAAACAAACTAGAACTCCCAACATAGAAATACACCACATAGAAAGAACACACCCTGGCTCAACATATAGAGTCCCAGAGCCAGGGTGTTACAGTACCCCCCCCTAAAGGCGCGGACTGTGACCGCGCCTCAACTAGAGCAAAACAGGGGAGGGCTGGGTGGGCATTCCTCCTCGGCGGCGGTTCTGGCTCCGGCCTTGCCCACCACCCTCCAATAAACCCCCCATAGCGCCCCTGGTCCGGTCTGGCCCCGCTGGCTGGAGCTGAACTGGACGTAGCAGGAGCGGTTAGCTTCAGCTCCGTAGTGGAGCAGTTGACCGGTACCCTACCAGGCACCGGTGACCCAGGCACGGGTTGTGCTGGACTGACGACGCGCACCCCTGGCTTGGTGCGTGGAGCCGGAACGGCCCGGACCGGGCTGACGACTCGCACCCCTGGCTTGGTGCGTGGAGTAGGAACAGCCCGAACCGGGCTGACGACTCGCACCCCTGGCTTGGTGCGTGGAGTAGGAACGGGCCGGACCGGGCTGACGACTCGCACCCCTGGCTTGGTGCGTGGAGTAGGAACGGGCCGGACCGGGCTGACGATGCGCACCCCTGGCTTGGTGCGTGGAGTAGGAACGGGCCGGACCGGGCTGACGATGCGCACCCCTGGCTTGGTGCGTGGAGTAGGAACAGGCCGGACCGGGCTGGCGACGCACCCCGTAGGCTTGGTGCGAGGAGCAGGGACAGGCCGGACCGGGCTGACGATGCGCACCCCTGGCTTGGTGCGTGGAGTAGGAACAGGCCGGACCGGGCTGGCGACGCACACCGTAGGCTTGGTGCGAGGAGCAGGGACAGGCCGGACCGGGCTAGCGACGCACACCGTAGGCTTGGTGCGTGGAGCAGGGACAGGCCGGACCGGGCTGGCGACGCACACCGTAGGCTTGGTGCGAGGAGCAGGGACAGGCCGGACCGGGCTGGCGACGCACACCGCAGGCTTGGTGCGAGGAGCAGGGACAGGCCGGACCGGGCTGGCGACGCACACCGTAGGCTTGGTGCGTGGAGCAGGGACAGGCCGGACCGGGCTGTGGAGACGGATAGGAGACCTGGAGTGAAGAGCTGCCACAACCCGTCCTGGCTGAATGCCTACCTTCACACACTCTGTGTGAGGCATCAGCACAGGACGTACAGGGCTGTGTACCCGTACTGGCATAACAGCACGTGACACTGGCGCAGGATATCCGGGACCGAGGAGAGGCACTGGAGGCCACGAGCGCTGAGCCGGCACACTCCGTCCTGGCTGCATGCCCACCTTCGCACAACACGTGCGGGGTGCTCGCACAGGACGTACCGGACTATGCCGGACCACTCGTGGCACAGTGCGCAGCTCCGCATACCGCGGAACCTGCCCAGTCTCATGCTGCCATGCCTGAGTACGGGGAGTTGGCTCTGCTCTCCATCCAGGCTCCGCCAACCTGCCTTCTGGCCCCCAAAACCTGGTGGCCTCCTCTCCTAATCTCCCTGTGGCAGCCTCCTGCTGCCCAGTCGCCCATGCCGTGTGCCCCCCCCCCCAAACATTTTTTTGGGGTTGCCTCTCGTCCGTCCGACGATGACACTGCTGACGCCGCTGCTCCTCTCTCGCCAGGGCCTTAATCCTAGCCCATGGCCCTTTGCCCCCGAGCATGTCCTCCCAGGACCACGATTTGCCCACCTGGGCCATCGCCAACCTCTCCATCTCCTTTCCCGGCGCTTCCTCCCATGTCCAGTCTGCCTGCTCCTGGACACGCTGCTTGGTCCTTGTATGGTGGGTTCTTCTGTCACGATCGTCGTTAAGAGAGGAGGACCAAGGCGCAGCGTGATGAACGAACATGTTTATTTATCATTAGCGATAAACACGGACAGTAAACAAAAACAACAAACGACTCGTAACGTCCTAGGTAACATAGACCAACACGGAACAAGAACCCACAAACACAAAGGGAAAAACAGACAGTTTAAATATGGCTCCCAATCAGAGACAACCAGCCACAGCTGACACTCGTTGCCTCTGATTGGGAGTCACTCAGGCCAACAATAGAAATAAACAAACTAGAACTCCCAACATAGAAATACACCACATAGAAAGAACACACCCTGGCTCAACATATAGAGTCCCAGAGCCAGGGTGTTACAGTTCGGGCAAGCTTCGGCGTTCGTCGTCACCGGCCTTCTAGCCACTGCCGCTCCTCATCTCATCATTCCATTTGTTTTGTCTTGTTTATTACACACACCTGGTTCATATCCCCTCATCAGTACCTGTATAAGTGTTCCCTCTGCCCCCTTGTCTTTGTGTGTGATTGTTTATTGTGGAGGATAGCGAAGCTCGGTGGAGCTCTGTGTATTTTGTATCGGCGGAATATTCCCTGTGTGCCTTGTATTTTCCAGTGCGCCTGTTTTGCGCACTGGAGTGTTTTGACGCGTTACTGCGTAACTCTGTGTTTTCGGAATAAATCCTGTTATTCTGTGAATTACCCTCCTGCACCTGACTCCTTCGAAAACACCTCATCACAGCGGTGATAGATACAGTATGATCACTGGCCCTACTATAACACTCTGCCAGTTCGTCAGTGATCTAATAGTGAATCGAAGGTGTGAAAAACTACATCACTGAGTATGAATAACACCGAGTGCATGACTGTTAAGATCTCTAAGTATGAATATGTGTGAAAGTTTGTGGATGTGTATGTGCGTGTGTCAGATAGTGTAATCTACTCAGTGATTCCTCTGGAAAAATGTGTAGCAGTGGGGGGGAAAGGTTGGGGCGAGGGGGACATTCTATTCCAAACTTAATGAAAATAAAATTACGCTGACACCACCTAAAATGTACTTTCCACCTCCAGAATTGAGCCCAATTACATATTGGTCAAATTATTTGTTTAAATTATTTTAACATTTTGGACCATGCATATAGCCAATCAAATGTGATATTTTAACTAGTTAGCATCTAACTTGGGGTAACCCACCACCCAGGGTAACACACCCCCTGCCTGTACTTCTCACAGAAACCACTTTATGTCATCATACACCCCCAGAATGCATGTATCCATCCCTATGGCACTCGTAACTTGAATGCGCCTCGAGAGGAATATTTATCTTGCATAGAACACACAACAACAAGCTGACTAGGTAAATACATGTAATGTAAATAGATAAGCTATTCTACTATGGGGTGTCTGATTTTTCTATTTATTACTTATTTTGTTTGTAGAGGAAAAGTAAATGTGGACAGTTTTCTTGCATCTTCAAAGTGCGCCTCGGCAGAAATATTTTTCATGTTCTGTATTTTTTTGCTGTGGAGGCAATGATTTTGCCATGGCGCAGTGCCATAGCAAAATGACTGCAACGGATAACACCGCATCTACTGCAGGGGTTCCCAACCTTTTTTTCACTAGGATCCCCCTTTTCACATTTGAATGTCACACTTGATTTTGTTTAATTTAGGGAACCTAGGAAAATATGTTGTTTTTAAGCTAATTCTAATATGTTAATTTAAGCATATGCTCTTTTACAGAAAGTGAATAGATAAATTGATAGCGACAGCCACACATTGTATAACATTACTTCCCAAGCAAAGTAAAAAAAAAGATATTCCTTGACTAGAAGGTCATAGCTCAGCTTTTAAATGTCATAGAGACAAACAAAAGATCTCCCCATGTGCAGTCACATCTTCCTCAGGCAGTTTACCTCTTGTTTCTAGCCTAAAGCATTGTGGGGTTATGCGTCGTTATTGATCGGTTTATACAATCGCGATTTGTACAAAAATTCAAATAATAAGAATTTGTTTACCCCTCAAATCATGGGAGGTCCCGCGACCCCCCAGGAAACATTGGGAACCACTGATCTACTGTATGTTTATGGACTGGTGATGATGTGTGATGTTACAAGTGATACATGTGTGTATGTTTCTGTGATCACTGTAGTTGTGTGGTCTCTTTCTCTAAATCTGCAGTAATCTGAGTGTGTCTCTAGAGTGGAGGGCCCACCTGAGCTTGCTGTTGTTCTTGTTGTAGCTCATGGAGTGGCTGCGGCTGCTAAGGGTTGCTGGGGACTTGATGACCGACTCCAGGGAAGGACTCTTCCTCATAAGGCTGCTGGGCTTCAGCTCATCCCCAGAGCCCCCGTACTTATCTGAGAAACACAGGAATCAGGAACCAGGGAAAGGGGAGGTAGAGAGGGAAGGAGGATGTGCAAAAGGATGTGACTTGTGACTGTTTGTAGTTAGTAAAATGTGCTGATGAAGGCAAGATGCCAGAATGTGTTGGTTTCAAGGATAAAGAAGCGTTTTTGATCTCATTGGTGTTTTACAAAGTTAGATACATATATACAGTATCAGTGATACTTTTATACTTGCTCTCTCTACAGAGTATCATGTACCTGGATGAGAAAAATCTCCATGGTTGATCCTTTTCTCCAGTGTCTTTGAGAGCGGTTTGATAGACGAATGCCTCTACAGAAACCAAAACAAAAAAGACTTAGTATATCATGTCCTATTCATGTCCTACACATGATGATGAACAAAAAGTGACAACCAAACATGTAACACTTTACATTATTTGTAATGGTTATAATGTATTTAAAAGGCTTAACAAAAGCTTTATACATTTAAGTCGGTAATAAACAGATATAACAGATTGGTTGATATTTTAGTCCAGGGGTCCACAATTCGTGGGCCGATTTTTCCTTGAGCGGATGGTCGGGGGACCGGAACAGTTAGGAATAATTTGTACACTGCAAATTGACCGCAAGAATCCCAAACAGATATATTTCACAAAAACAGAATAATTTCAAACTTTGATTACATTGGGATACGATCACATATGTTTCTCTATTTACATGATTATTATTATTTTTCTATTTATTTCTCTATTTGTATTTTCTCTATTTAGAGGCGGCAGGTAGCCTAGCAGTTAGAGCGTTGGGCCAGTAACCAAAAGGTTGCTGTTACGAATAACCGAGCCGACTATGTGAAAATCTGTCGATGTGCCCTTGAGCAATGCACTTAACCCTAATTTGCTCCAGGGGTGCCGCACTACTATAGCTGACCCTGTAAAACAACACATTTCACTGCACCTATCCGGTGTATGTGACAATAAACATTATTTATTTTGTTTTTATTATTTTTTTATGCGTGGGAATTTCGTAAATTAAAATCACATTGAGCTGATTTCCTGGTGATTTTACAGTATTTTATGTCCCCCCCCCCCTACTGGGGAACCCTGTTGTAGTCCATATTGAAGAGGTACTATACCTGGATGGGGGAGACAGCAGCTGCGGGTGCTGTGCGGACAGGGATCCCACTCAGAGGGCTTCTAGGTGAGGAGTGCATCTGTACCGTGTGTCCAAGCCCAGGTCCATCTGCAAGGCCCAACATATGAGTGTACATTTGCCACGAGTGGCTATTTAAGTGGATACTGAAAGTGATTAATTGTATACCGTATTCCACGGTGATGTTCCATGGAGTCCTATCACTGTATCTGTTCACCCTGTTAAGCATTTAGACCTCTAAGGTTAGGCTGTTTAAGCTATGATGTAAGAGGCAAGGGTTCCTTCTCTATCACTGCTGCTAAGCCAGGAAAGTTTCCCCTCAGCAGCCAGTCGGCCTGACATCCTGCGTATTTTACAGGCCACATTTTTCATTCCCCGATGATACAAGAGACAACAGATCCAAAACCAACATCTTTCTCAGGAATTTCTGTGGCCAGTCTATAGAGTAATCACACCTCCTATTCCTTTCAAATCAAATCCAAGTTTATTGGTCGCGTACACAGTTTGGCAGATGTTATAGCTGGTGCAGCTAAATGTTTGTGTTATTAGCTCCTAACAGTGCAGTAAAATGTCAAACAAGTACACAAATAATCCAAAACTAAAACAAGAAATCAAGAAATGTCAAAACAAATCCAATGAACAACCCAAATAACACTATCAGTAATCCAAATGCAATCTATGCGTATACTGTATACACTGAAAATATATACAAAAAATTACATGTACAGCAGTAGATATATTAGAGTAAGCTACACCATCAATACAGTCACATGGACAGCAGAGCATACCATAGTGACCATACATGCCTCTGCTGTACAGACATGCTAGATCTATCTCAAGCAGACAGACAGGCTGCCAGCTGTTCTCCTATTGTGCAGACAAGTTAGGTATGATATACTGTAAAGAGGCCTGTGCTTGACTGAACTTACCTGGCGCATTGGAACCAATGGAATAGTTCAAAAAGTACAACCTCCCCGCACCCCACCCCCCATCTGGCACCCCAGGGAGGTGCAGTCAAATACTCAAATAACTTTGAAAGAAAACAAATAATATTTTAACCCAGGTCTGCCGGGCATGTGTGGAGGAGTGAGAAGGAGGGATGCTCTGTGCTTACTATGTACAGCTGTGTCAAAGGACTTGATGAGGGATTTGACGGTGGCTCCGGGCTCTGAGGGGGAGGAGGCAGCGTTGCCGTTGGTGTTGATAGGCGAGGAGGTGGTCTGGGTCTGGGTGGTCTGGGTCATGGAGATGCCACACCAGTGAGGAATGCCATCTGCATCTGAGAAACTCTCAGAGTCACCACGCAACGACCTGAGAAAGACAAAGGGGAAGAGATGCTCACAGTATACATTATGGCACAACACATAGCCGATAGAAGTGCTTTTACAGTAAGAGGCTATACCTTAGCAGGGATTTTTATCAGAACATTATTTTACTAAGTAGGTGTTATCAGAACAATGGTTTAGTATTTATTTACTCAATCAATGTTCTAAAGAAAGGTAATGATTGACAATGATGTTTGCCCATTGCATTGACTGTTCCATGCAATATTTGCTCAATTGATCAGAAGCATATTGTGTACGAGTATGTACAGTACACGTTTCAGATGATGGAAAAGTCAATAGCTGGTTCTAATTTTAGATGATAAAAAGGTACAAAGTTTACTCCATCCTGATCTTATGGACATTGGACAGAGCCTGAGTGAGTAAGTGATAGAGTATTGTCACAAATTGATGGATGGGGAAGGGGTGAGAATAGAACTGAAGTAAGGAATCTGATGAGGAGGAAGCAGAACTCCCAAAGAGAGTGAACTCAAACAAACACACGCAGACAAAGTTGGGACTAGAGTCATTTAATTTATTGACTTTCCAAAGAACAAATAGGAAAGAGTTTAAACAGATGGACAAACACTTTACATTGACTATTTCTCTAAATAAACAGCATTGTATATTTGATCTGTCTCAATAAGATTTAACCTAAAAGTTAAATTAAACAGTTGCACATTCACTTGTTGAACTGTTGAGCAAATGGCTTTAAATCACAGACAGAGAAAAGGTAATCATCACACAGTTACCACCATGTACAGTTGAAGTCGTAAGTTTACATACACCTTAGCCAAAGACATTTAAACTCAGTTTTTCACAATTCCTAACATTTAATCCTAGTAAAAATTCCCTGTCTTAGGTCAGTTAGGATCACCGCTTTATTTTAAGAATGTGAAATGTCAGAATTATAGTAGAGATAATGATTTATTTCAGCTTTTATTTCTTTCATCACAATCCCAGTGGGTCAGAAGTTGACATACACTCAATTAGTATTTGGTAGCATTGCCTTTAAATTGTTTAACTTGGGGCAAACGTTTCGGGTAGCCTTTCACAAGCTTCCCACAATAAGTTGGGTGAATTTTGGCCCATTCCTCCTGACAGAGCTGGTGTAACTGAGTCAGGTTTGTAGACCTCCTTGCTCGCACACGCTTTTTCAGTTCTGCACCAGTCCCTCCTGCAGCAAAGCACCCCCACAGCATGATGCTGCCACCCCCGTGCTTCCTCCAGCATCTTCACAAGGTCCTTTGCTGTTGTTCTGGGATTGATTTTCACTTTTCGCACCAAAGTACGTTCATCTCTAGGAGACAGAACGCGTCTGCTTCCTGAGCGGTATGACGGCTGCGTGGTCCCATGGTGTTTATACTTGCGTACTATTGTTTGTACAGATGAACGTGGTACCTTCAGGCGTTTGGAAATTGCTCCCAAGGATGAACCAGACTTGTGGAGGTCTACAATAGGTTTTCTGAGGTCTTGGCTGATTTCTTTTGATTTTCCCATGATGTCAAGCAAAGAGGCACCGAGTTTGAAGGTAGGCCTTGAAATACATCCACAGGTACACCTCCAATTGACTCAAAGATGTCAATTAGCCTATCAGAAGCTTCTAAAGCCATGACATCATTTTCTGGAATTTTCCATGCTGTTTAAAGGCACAGTCAACTTAGTGTATGTAAACTTCTGACCCACTGGAATTGCAATACAGTGAATTATAAGTGAAATAATCTGTCTGTAAACAATTGTTGGAAAAATTACTTGTGTCATGCACAAAGTAGATGTCCTAACCGACTTTCCAAAACTATAGTTTGTTAACAAGAAATTTGTGGAGTGTTTGAAAAAACGGGTTTTAATGACTCCAACCTAAGTGTATGTAAACTTCAGACTTCAACTTTTTTGGCAATATCGACAGTACTCGAAGTTAAACATTACCAGCACGTCTGTCTGTCTCTGGTCGAGTACTATGGCTTTTGTATGACTGCATCTACTGAATAGTCTCCTGTTACTAGGTAATAATAATAATTATTATTATTATAACCTGAGGTTTACAGGATGGCAGTTGGTCATAATACAATTCTAATGGGTGTCACAACGCCAGCATCACTTCAGTGATCCAACGTCTACCCTGTAGCAGTGCTCAGAAATTAGAGGCTTTTTATTTGACCTGATGGGGTCGCATTATAATGACTTCAGAATTAGTGATAAAGCATTCAGAATATATTTTGTTGATATAGCCTGCTGAAGTTCAGAGTGAAATATAATGGTTAAGAGGTACTGTACAGGACATTTTGACATTGTGAGTTTTAGGCACGGCTGTAAGTCTGAGGCAGTGAGGACTGAATTGGGCAGTTATCAGCAGTTGATTACCCTTATGGCTTAAATGCACGGCGGCATTCCTGTGTGGACATTATTAGTGATCATGTGATAATTATCAGTGATAATGTAATAATATACTGTCTGTGGTTCAGTGTTGTTGTCTGGAGGCAGAACTCAAGCTGGTGAGCTGGACTTAAACAGTAGCCCGCCTATTACACACACAACTTAGGACCACTGACCAGTGCAGGTTCTTGATACTTTAATGTTCTTGATAGTCTGTTAAATATTGCCATCTAGTGGTCAATTATCACACCATATGATCAGATTCACATTATGAACACAAGGTGCAAATGAAATACCCAATGAAAATTTAAAACTTTGTTTTTTCCTTCCAACTAGAGTACATGACTAAATCTTAGTAGCCATGAATACACTTAAAGTGAACTGACTGTTAGTTATTACCATTAAAAACATTTTAGATCATCCAAGCACTTTTTTAAGTAACAGATATTCCAAACCGTCAGTTAGAAGAAACGGATCATAATAATAACCACTGAAGCAGAACTGATATGAAACTTCAACAAAATGTGTATTAGAACAGTAATCAACCAAAATACCAATAAAAACCAACTCTGATCTTAACTAAAATAACTTGAAAAGCTTGTCTGTTTGGCTTTCAAAGTTGTACTTGTCCCATAATGTAGTACTGAAACCTAACTTACAACATGAATCTGACTCATAGTAATAGCTGGCAGTTTCCAGTGGATAAGCAAACTGTTTTCGCTTCAGTCAACCCTCAGAGAACTGAACAAAAAATGTGTCTCATTCTCATAATATTTAGCAACACATTGAGTAAGTGAATATTCACCACTGAGGCAATTTAAGTGTCTAAAAGGCACAAAAGCAAATCGGTATCAGTAACAGAAACTCCTCCTATCATATCATATCATATCATCTCTTGACCGATAGAGAGGAGAGCTTCACAAAAACAAATACCACTGAAAACATTGCAAGCAATAGAGATAAAAATGTGTACAGAATTTTTGAACGATTTCACGGACAAATATGCGTTAATTTGGAAGTTTATCAGTAAACTACAGTGTGACTCTGTCAGTCTGTCTGGGGCAAATATTGCATCTGCACTGGTCAACCAACCTTGCTAATAAACCCATCAGAATGACATACCAGATGATGGAAAAGTTTGTTTGGTAATACCAATCAAAGCAACTGTGTACAATAATACTGCCAGTCTGTCTTCAGAGGGTCCTGATGTTATGTGGGTGGACTTTTTTACCGCCCCTCTACTGCAGTCTTGGTATCAAAACTGGCTCCAGCCCCGAGTCTGAAAAACAAGACCGAAACACAGAGACAACATGAATTGAAATAAATATACCCCCTTAAAAAGCTATGTACTTGCATTGAACATTTATACTGTATGTAGCACAACCCGAGTGGTGTCTTTATCTAAAGACACTGCAGTTAAGGCTCTTTATTCTGATCAGTATACAATGCTATACAGACCAAATGATTTTTATTTGATCAAGCAGAGATAGCATGAGTACAAATCAATCATCCCATGTCATACTACTAGACAGTTCTCCAGAGCAGGGTTTCCCAAACTCGGTCCTGTCCCCCCGGGTGCACATTTTGGTTTTTGCCCTATCACTACACAGCTGATTCAGATAATCAAAGATTGCTGATGAGTAGGTTATTTGAATCAGCTGTGTAGTGCTAGTGCAAAAACCAAAATGTGCACCCAGGGGGGGCCCCAGGACTGAATTTGGGAAACCCTGCTCCAGAGGAACCAAGAGGCTAGGTAAAGGATTGATTCAACAGAACAGCAGGTGGCGCCAAGTACCAAAAGAAAAGTGTAGTAGCAGGGTTTTTTTTTTTTACAATGGAAATTGAGCAAAGCAAACCCCAGCCCACCCAAATGAAAGGACACAGGCTGCTAATAGATAGATAGTTTGTGCAGCTGTCAGTCTGCTAGTCAGCGAACCAGAGACAATCAGTGAGAAGCAGCGGAAGCAGTACAGGAAGGAAAGTCAGAAGCTCTAGATCAGCAGTAGCATTCCCTCTATTAAGGCAGCATTCATTGAGCTCGCAGTGCAGTGGACTCACCTGGGCTTTCTATTAGGAGCCATGTCTGAAAGAGGGACATCCTTGAGAGAACGAACGATCTCAGGGAGGAGGGAAGCTTCTGGTCTGGTACGTCGCAGGTACGTACAGGGAAAGTAAAGTAAAGTACTGCATTCTTCTTTACGTTATAATTTACATGTTTTATGTCAGGCAAGCTATATTAGAAACTAACTGATGAGCTCTGTATGTATAGTATTAACAATACTGGCCTAATTTGCCTCTCGTCATACTGTCACTGCCACTGTCACTGCACACGAGACACAGGACCAATGGGCTGAGCTTTTCATCAACACACCGACCAATCACGTCCCTGGCACAACAGGCCATGTTGTACAGCAGGGGTGGGCAATCATTTCAGCTCGAGGGCAACATCGGGATAAAAAAATTCAGTGGAGGGCCACACAGATATTTTTCGAGCCCAATTTGTTAGTCAAAAGCAATTTATAGGCCAAAGAAAGGGCCGTAATTTCAAAACGTATAGATCCATTATAATTTCAACATACTTTCTATCTAGTTTCAGATGTTCAAGAGTGGCCTGGAGTGTTTTTTTTTACCCCAAATTATATTTGTTTTACTCAAACCTCCCCCGGGCCAGATTGAATGCGCTCGTGGGCCGGATCCGGCCTGCGGACCATATGTTGCCCACCCGTGGTGTACAGGTAGCCCCATGAAACACAACAGAGGAATTATGCTATGGCTCCTAAAGTGTTTGTCTCAATTTATACTTTGAAGAGAACTGACTCAAAAAGTTTAGTGCTGCTGTCAATGCGGTCTCGGCAGCAGCATTTCTAGGTAGAGCTTAGACCACTATATTTGTGCTACACTACTCAGATAACACATCTTGTCTCAGTGAAGTGCTAGGGTCTACTGCTAGCTCAGTGTGTTACAGTCAGTGGTGGTGAGTGGTAGACAGACTGGTAGAGCAGTCTGAATAATGCAGCAGGAACCAGATGGACAGACAGAGATACCGCAGGAGGGGACAGGATTTGAGACTTGAAAATCCAAGGATTTGGTTATTAAGATATTATTATTGGACTTAATTGTGAATCATATCCTAGTTGGCAGCTAGCATCACCTCGTTTCAATGCAAACCCCAAAATGCTGAGCATCATAAGGTACTGTGATGTCAAATCTGAATTTTTGGGGAAGCCTCTTAAAAGGGAACAGATTAATGACGTATTGAAATTCAAAATGTTCCTTCCAGCTCTGCTCCCTGTAGCCTCCCATACGGCATCCTATATGATACTGACTACTATATTGAACACTCACACAATCAGTGAGATATGGCAAGCCCTAGAGTAGCAGCAGGACAGAGTAGATATGGCCCAGTGCTGAGAGGGAGCGAGAGGGAAAAGGGAAAGGGATAAGAGGTTGGATGTTGGATAGAGGCGCAAGGGAGTACGGGAGGTATACTTTAGGTCAGGGCTTTTCAAATCTGGCCCCTTAAGGCCAATTACACTTCTGGGTTTCATTCTTCCCTTCTAATCGGGGATGGATTTAGACCTGGGACATCAGATAAGTAAATGCAACTATCACGTAGAAACAAAAACCAGAAGTGTTGCAGCCCTCGAGGACCGTAATTGAATAGCCCTGCTGTATGTACTAAACCCTCCCAGCCATACGGTACGTACCTGACTCCCTTCTGCTGCTCCAAGTCTGAGGAGAGCTTGGTGCTGCGCCCCTGCTCCTCCTGTAACCTCCTCCTCAGAGAGCGGATCTCCTGCTGGGCCTCTACCTTGATGTCGTTGGCCACCACCACGGCTGTCTGGAGGTCTGCCTGGAACCGCCGCCACTCCTCCGTCTCATCCTGAACACACAAACACACAGTATATATATGAGCATTATGATTATCTTTACATCATAGCAGTCACAAACCTTGACCATCTTGACCACCAGCAAAGCACCTGAAAGTATAAAACCACTAACAGTCAGATCACTCCTACCTTCATCTGTTTACTCAAGATCTTCAGCTGCCTCTCCACTTCAGCCTTCTGCTCCTCCAGCCTCTTGAGTTGGTCTGTAAAGAAAGATAAATATGTCATTACTTTGAGAACATCAACCACAGAATACATCCGCGAGAGGCGCATATCATAACTGGAGGAGCTGCAGCCATTTCTTAGTCTGATAAATGTATACAGAACATCTAACACTGCCTCTTATACAAGTGGTACTACAGGGCTACTACACTGAGTGTACAAAACATTAAGAACACCTGCTCTTTCCATGACAGACTGACCAAGTGAATCCAGGTGAAAGCTATGACCCCTTATTGACGTCACCTGTTAAATCCACTTCAATCAGTGTAGATGAAGGGGAGGAGACAGGTTAATTAAGGAATTTTAAGCCTGGAGACAATTGAGACATGGATTGTGTATGTGTGCAATTCAGAGCGTGAATGGACAAGACAAAAGATTGAAGTGCCTTTGAACGTGGTATGGTAGTAGGTGCCAGGCAAACCAGTTTGAGTGTGTCAAGAACTGTAACGCTGCTGGGTTTTTCACGCTCAACAGTTCCCGTGTGTATCAAGAATGGTCCACCACCCAACTGTGGGAAGCATTGGAGTCAACATGGGCCAGTATCCCTGTGGAATGCTTTTGACACCTTGTAGAGTCCATGCCCTGATGGATTGAGGCTGTTCTGAGGGCAAAATGGGGTGAAACTTAATATTAGGAAGGTGTTCCTAATGTTTTGTACACTCAGTGCATATATCCATTCTAATCGTGTTTCTCATTATATGGTTATTATGGTTATTATGAGCCTGCTATCAGTTAAATCTGCATTGCTATATCCATAACTCATACTTACTCAATATGTCGCTAGTCTCACCACTAACCAAATAAAATAACTCAAACAATGCATACTGCTGCACATATTTAGTTATAACAATACATACCGCTGCACATATTTAGTTATAACAATACATACCGCTGCACATATTTAGTTATAACAATACATACCGCTGCACATATTTAGTTATAACAATACATACCGCTGCACAAACAGGTCTGTAGGACAGAGACAGATGTGGTGGTAATAAAACAGGGATAGAACTGCCTGTGTCTGTCTGTCTGTCTGCTGTGCTGAGGCTCCTGGTAGGGAGACAATCTGCATGTTATCTCAGCATTAAGGGCTCAGTGGGAGAGAGCCTCTAATATACGTAACCAGCCAGCCAGCCAGCCTGTAAGGTCACAGTGAATCAGTGGAAAGCCCTGCCAGGCCAACACTCAGATATCTGTATCTGTCAGTGTAGTGGAGCTCAGCAGTAGATCTGGTACCTCAGACAGCTGCTCCAATCTGTCAGCCCCAGCTGAGAGACCTGCCTGCTCCACTCAAACAGAATCACACCGGTGATATACTCTGAATAAGCCCATTCCAGGACTAAAAAATACTTTTGAGCACATGCTATTTAGTCCAGGTGTTGGCTTAATCTGGGTCCGGGAAACAGGCCCTATATGTTTAGGAGTGCTGTGCTCCTGTAACAAGTAAAAACCCCTGAGGTTAGGTTGATGACAGTTGATGACAGTTGTACTCTCAAGATCCAGGATGGAGGTGGTAGAGTAGTAGAGTAGTAGTAGACTAGTGATATATACACTAACTAGGGAACGTACGCTCTAGGTCCAGGATGGTCTGGTTGGTGTGGAGGTGGACGGCTCTCTGCTGCTCCACCTGGTCCTCCAGCTCAAAGATGGTCTCCTTCAGGTCCTTGATCTGGCCGTCGGCCTGCTGCCCCCCCTCCTCCATGGCACTGACCCGGCCACTCAGCTCTTCCTCCCGCCTTACGGCTCGTTCTGCCATCTGCTGGCACTCAGCCTCCGCCTGGGACATAGTAAGAGATGATCTGATTGGTTAGTCACATGACGAGACATAGTAAGAGATGACCTGATTGGTTATCACACATAGAGCCATATAAGACATGACCTGATGTTTAGACCAAACATCCATCAACGGGCCTCTTTCTGGTGCCCTGTTGGCTGCCACCATGAGATGGCGCTGTGTCTGTAGTGACAGTGTACCCACTTTTTCAATATCCGTTCATGTACCTGTTACCTCTATATTAAAGAATAAAGGAGAATACAAAAGGCCTTTACATAAAGCAGGTGTGAATGTAGAGGTGTCTACCATTTCTAAGCATGTTCGACAGAATTAGGCCTATTGTACTTAATTTATCATTCCATGTCCTCAGAAGTTTTGTGATTGTATTAAACAGTTAATTCATAAATCTTCACCTAATCACTAGATAATAAAGGGTTACTTAACACATCTAGACCACCAGACATCCTCAAGTCTGGGCATATGTGCTTATCACTTAGCATAACTGACAGTGACACATCCCTTACTGTAACCACAGCCTTAGATCTGTATGACGCTCTGACTGTAACTGCTAATACTCTATTGTAGTCTGACGTAATAAAATATAAATTATAAAAGCTGTTGGACGTCAGCCCTGCCAGTGTCCACAGAGACTCATTGACACAAGAGTTTAGCAGGAACAACTCCAAAGCCACTCTGATAGCATAGCCTACACTACAGTGTAACTGGCTGCTGGGTAAACAGGTGATGATGAATCATCGAATTTACAGTTTAGTGTCTAGAGCCCTTGTCTCCTGCTGCAGGTAATACACTTCCTGATACACTATTGACAGTAACCTCAATCACCCATGCATTCCCTACTACAGATGTAGCATCTTAATTTGATCACCCTGTTGCAGGAGAAACTTCTAGTGTATTTGAGTCTTAAAAAGGCTTATGAAGTTTGTAATTTCCACTTTTAAATTTCAGACTTGAAAAAATGTATCAACCCCTAAAAAAATGTCCATTGATTATAATCCACATAATAATTCACATTTCCTGTTGCTGCAGGATTATTTTCCTGCTGTAGCAAACTGGCTCAAATGATCTAGAATGGTGCTGCAATGGAAAGCAGCTGTTTTACAGGCTCTTGACCAACTCTACTATTTTGTGTGGTTTTTTGTACATAATGTTTCCGCCATCGTTTCCTATGACCGAAAAGAGCTTCTGGACACCAGAACAGCGATCACTAACCTCGATTTGGATGAAGATTTCTACTTCAACGAGTCGGAGGCGCAGCACATAATGCTCACTCTGGACTAGGCCCTAATCCCAGAGACTCGAAAAAGAAAAAGGCGGCGTAAGAGAAGCCGACGTGAGGGCACCCTGATGAAACTACGTCGGCGAGTACATAAACCGCCTCTACCCTCCGTTCCATTTGGCGAACATACAAACACTAGAGAACCAACTGGACAAGCTTTTTGTCAACGATCTATACAAAATACAATATTTTTTATTAATGGAAAATAAAACACTAATATATGTTGATTAGATAAGTATTACAACACCCTGAGTCAATACATGTTAGAATCAGCTTTGGCAGCGATTACAGCTGTGAATCTTTCTGGGTAAGTCTCTAAGAGCTTTGCACACCTGGATTGTACAATATTTGCACATTATCCTTTTTTAAATTCTTCAAGCTCTGTCAAGTTGGTTGTTGATCATTGCTAGATAGTCATTTTCAAGTATATCCATACATTTTCAAGCTGATTTAAGTCAAAACTGTAACTAGGCCACTCAGGAACATTCAAGGTCGTCTTGGTAAGCAACTCCAGTGTATATTTGGCCTTGTGTTTTAGGTAATTGTCCTGCTGAAAGGTGAATTTGTCTTCCAGTGTCTGTTGGAAAGCAGACTAAGTTTTCCTCTAGGATGTTGCCTGTGCTTAGCTCTATTTCGTTTATTTTTATCCAAAAAAAATCCCTAGTCCTTGCCGATGACAAGCATACCCATAACATGATGCCACCACCACCATGCTTGAAAATATGAAGACTGGTACTCAGTGATGTGTTGTGTTGGATTTGCCCCAAACATAATACTTTTTATTCAGGACAAAAAGTTAATTTCTTTGCAGCATTTTTTGCAGTATTATTGAAAACAGGATGTATGTTTTTGAATATTTGTATTCTGTACAGGCTTCCTTCTTTTCACTCTGTAATTTATGTTAGTATTGTGGAGTAACTACAATGTTGTTGATCCATCCTTAGTTTTCTCCAATCACAGCCATTAAACTCTGTAACTGTTTTTAAATCCCCATTGGCCTCATGGTGAAATCCCTGAGCGGTTTCCTTTCTCTCCAGCAACTGAGTTAGGAAGGACACCTGTATCTTTGTAGTGACTGGGTGTATTGATATATCATACCACCTCAAGGCACAACGCCTCTCCCCCATGTGACCTACTTGTTGCGTGTATGTACTGACATGTATGTGTAACTGATAGATGCACACACACATACCCTGACCCAGTCTGTAATACCTACAGGTTTCAAGCAGACCACCATAGTCCCTGTGCCCAAGAACGCCAAGGTAACCTGTCTAAATTACTATCGGCCCAGAGCACTGACATCTGTTTGAAAATGCTTTGAAAGGCTGGTCATGGCTCACATCAACCCCATCATCCCAGATACCCTAGACCCATTCCAATTCGCATACCGCCCCAACAGATCCACAGATGACACAATCCACACTGCCCTTTCCCACCTGGACAGGAGGAACACCTACTGTATGTGAGATTGATGTTCATTGACTACAGCTCAGTGTTCAACACCATAGTGCCCTCCAAGCTCATCACTAAGCTAAGGACCCTGGGAATGAACACCTCGCTTTGCAACTGAATCCTGGACTTCCTGACGGGCAGACCCTAGGTGGTGAGGGTAGGCAACAACACATCTGCCACACTGACCCTCACCACGGGAGCCCCTCAGGAGTGCATGCTTAGTCCCCTCCTGCACTCCCTGTTTACCCACGACTGCGTGGCAGCGCACAACTCCAACACCATCATTAAGTTTGCCGACGACACGAGGGTGGTAGGTCTGATCACAGACGTTGAGACAGCCTA